GCACCCCAAATTTACTATTAATCAATAAGACTTCTTGAATATGTACAGCTACCTCGACCAGCCCTAGTATAGTACGCGCTTAATCCTAACCCCTCAACCCCGACCTTCTCACCTACTACATATATACAACCCCTCCACCCCTCAAACCCCAAACTTCCCTCCCTCCGGCACAGCCAAATACGAGCACCCCTTATAATCGCACGTATCCTATCACAACCCTCATTAGCCACCTCCCCCCTCTCCAAAAAAGGAATCGGAAACAAACATACCTTATAAACCTCCGTCCCCCACCAACTAAACCCCTTACTCGCACCACTAAAATATATCGCAAAAAAGATCACCACACCCGCAATCGACACCGACGAATCCAACGCCGAACTCAACACAAAATTATACTTATACCACCACTGCCACACCCTCCTCCGAATCCACCACCCAAACGTCAACCCCACAACAGCCCAACTACCATAACTCGTCCCCGTCGCCGGAGGGAGGTAATTCAACCCGCCCAGAAACAGCGGGATATGAACTCTCCGCCAGAGGGAATTCGGGTAGCGGCGTTTGAGGAAGTAAACGGGGATGGGGAGGACGGCGCCAATAATGAAGAAGTAGAGTAGCGAGCTGTAGCCGATGCCGTTGGTGAAGTAGTTGCGTGGGCCGATGGCGCCCCAGATAAGACTCGTGTTGAATTTTGTCCTCGAGAAGGGACAGCTGAACCCGTTGACGGCGTCGGTGGTGCAGACGTTGCTGATGTTGCCCAGACTCCAGTTTAGGACGGCGACGGAGCTGAGGGTTCCGAAGATCATGCCGACGCATTGGACGAGGAAGACTTTGCGGGGTGGGATCTATGTATTACGTTAATATTTAGGGATATCGGAGGGTGAGTGGTGGGTTGTAGTAGGTGGGGGGAAGGGTACCTTGCAGTAATCGCAGAGTTTCATGTCCTCTGCAAAGTAGAGGCCCTTGATGGTGGTGATGTAGCCAATGTCGAAAAACCAGATGTTGGCGAGGACTTTTCCTTCGAAGACGAAGCCGGCGACGATACGACAGAAGATGTCGATGTTGATTTTTAGGTTGGATGTCGCGTATACGATTGCGAGCTGCGTAGTTGAGATATTAACCCCTTGAACTAGTAGTGGACGGTGTGGGAATACACTTACCGGGCCGTAAAAGACCATAGCTACTGCGCAAGCTAGCAAGACGCCGTACCATCGCAGTTCGACATTCCAGTATTCGACGCTGAATATGCAGATGAACAGTGCCAGTACGGCTGCACCGAGGTACCATAAGAATGGGACATCACGGTGTCCCGAGATGGTGTCTGTGTGTTTCTTGTCCTTGGAGAAATAGCTGCGCACGACATGAGGGACTCGCCGAGCGCCCGCGGCTATGTCGTGGCGGTTCTCGAGGATCACCCAGACTAAGAGGGAACTCAAGGTTGCGAATGATAGACCGAACATGTTCAAGGCGTAGGTTACGGGCATGTAGACCTGAAGTGGTTGAGTCAGTAGGGATCGTGGGAATGTTGCAAGGCGGCGTACCGGAGAATAGGCCTTGTATTTTTCGATATCCAATTTGTAGCCGGTCGCTTTGCTGACCACTTTAGATGCTTGGTAGGTGGAGCCGGTGTTATCATAGACTGAGGACGAGATGATTAGTATGAGGACATGCTCGGACAGACGGCAAGTTGCATACCGGACGAGCTCTGGAAAGGAAGATAGCCTGTATACCATACATTGCGGTAGTAGCAAGCGACAGCGACAATCCAGATCCAGAACACCAGGGAGGAGAAGACATTGATAATTGCCCACGATGGAATCAGCAGTGGTGATCCGACGTAGGAGATTTGACTCCCTAGCGAGGTATTAGCCTGGCTGTGGCACAGTCATGGACCGGGTACTTACAGTCAAACGTGATGGGCAGCAAACCCATACCACTTTCCATGCCGAAAAGCTGATTGACGACCGTGCTCTTGGGGTTGATCCAGCATGGGAAAGTGAAATAGCTCAGCGCTGGGAAGATGAAATCTGGGAACCAGTACCAGCAGAAGGAGATGCAGAAGGCAAGACTGAAGAATGCGTAACGAGACATTTTCCATGTATCCTTACTACTTCTCATTAGATCCTTGACTTTTTCCCGGATATAGCAGTATACTTACACTCCTTGTAGATCCCCTTGAGCTAGGTTGTGCAACGTTGTCGTGAGCGAAGTCGTGCTCAGCACACCCGGCCAGATGAGTTCCTTAGGGGCAACCACCACGGAGCGAAAGAAGCCAGCCAAGCAGAAGCCGACCAGGAATGTTCCCAACGTGATCAAGATCTGGAAGCCCCAGCCAGCTTTATATCCGTAGAACATCTGCTGTTCTGTCAAGACGTCTGCTCCTAGTCGGACGTAGATACTAAGGTTCGACATGATGTAGACTAAAACGTGTTCCTATATCGAGTACCTATTAGGACAGGTTCGACGATAAGGCAGGCGTAAGGCTATCCAATACTTACCTTCTGGTTGAACGGTCCCGGATTCAGGTTGAATCGGCACACGCCGAGGTTGACATCCCAGCTCGGAAGGGTCTTCTCCCACAGCTTGCCTAACGGGTACGCCAGCAGCAAAGTCACCGAAGAGGATATTGTGATGGATGGTTTCCGAAGGGTGTAAAGTGTGTTCAGTCCACTGGCCACAATACAGAATCCTATACCGAGAATCCACATTCTCAGCGTCAGAATAGGTTCTGTTGGGTCATCTTCGTGGATACCGATGCCTGCCGCCCGTAGTACTTCGGTCTGGGAATCTACCTCGGCTGGTGGTTGTGTTAGCAGCGACAACAGGGGAAGGGGGTGAAGCAGAAAAACTCAAACTCACCACGGTCGGTATCCTCGACAGGGTAGACACTCTCCTTGTCGATACCATCTTTGGTGTCGGTGGCCATTTCCGCACCAAAATCAAGAGCTGAATAAAACCAGGACCATGGAAAGTTATCAGATCAGATAGGTGGCATCAGATAAGATCGATCCCGGGCCGGCGTGTCTTAAATATATCCAACAAAATTTGCCAACAAGCCAGGTCACCGGGTGAGGGATTATTCTGCCACGGATTGTCGGCACCCACAAATCTCCCTCGGACTAACCTAAGCCTTAGTGGGTCGTGTTTGGACGAAAACACCCCAGCCCTATAAGGCGAATGGGTGCCTGTGGTTCCGGTGGACCCTTCGGGTTTCGTGTGCCCGCGCAAAAGCTTTCTTGGCGACTTGGCCGTGATCGAATCGACCCAATGTAGCAACCTGGGAAGATATTGATCCATGGTGATGACATGAACATAGGAATCTGTTCGAAGGTCTGTATAACCTGTTCACTATTTAACAGGTGCAATGTCTCAATTGACTAAGGTGTAAGCACTTCTGCCCAGCGAGCAAATGGAAAAAAGGGGCATCGTGAGGAGATTGCATTTCTCCCGTGGTTCATATCGCGCTAGCGTTACTCGCATGCTTAGCGGGTAATGAACGTCAAATCACTGGCCATGTTAGCGAATCAACTGAGACAAGGCGCCTTATCTGATCCCTTTTGCCCGGATGATTGTGACTGCTCGGCACAGTACGTAAGGTAAGTTGCATTTTCGCGGTTTCCGCGTCATTCGGTGTCCCAACTCTGCCTCTGGAGGTGTCCTACAGGAATTAGAGCCATAACGTATCTCAATTGCTGCGTCAACTAACCCCCCAGGAAGCTTATCCACATCCTCATCGCGCTCATATCATGAGCCGACAAGACGCAACAAGTCGGAAGTCCTTCCACAAGTGGCATTCATAAGGGGTCCACAAACGCAGTCCCTCCAGCATATCCTTTTTAAGGCCGATGTAACTCCAACACTCCTATCGTTCTGCATCTGGCGTGATGTCTCCAGGCGGACCTGTGGGTTCCTTCGATGGTCACCTTGCCCCACCAACGAGAGCGAAGCCGAACCTCCCGAGTGATCTTGGCGTTCAGTTGGAGAGGGGTTACTGACAGAAATGCGAGGTTGGAGCTTAGTAGGTAGCAAGCAGGCAGATATCAAAATTGCCGGTCGCTCAAAGAGGGTTAGACACGTCGTAGGATAATTTCGGAAGAGTCCACAGCTCCATCTGTTTTCACCCACTTTGTCGGTGTTAAGTCCCGGCTTCGGGGATATTATCGGAAGTCCTTGTTTTCCTGGCTATTATCGGATGGGACTGCGAGCGAAATCGTCAATAAGATGCGTGATACCACACCTCGCGCCTTTCTGATCCGTCGTCCCACTTGACGAACGGTCCTGGAAAACTCAATCATTCCCGTCAGCCTTACGACAAGGCTGAGGGATCAAGCATTTAGTTGCGTAATAGTATGTGTCTGCTCTCGACTGACGGCCGGGACTGGCCAGTTAATCATTGAGTGATAGTAAATGCGACTCGGAAAGCAGTTTGCCGAGCAGCCAGGGTTGTGAAGTTGATGGAAAAGATTACATCCTCGCAATGGCAACTAGCGAGTCGCACTATCATGCTCCGATAATAACGGCTTCTCACGAAATTAGTCATACGGACAACTGCTATAAAGTGCAGTTTTGGTTGATAAAACTCGGTGGCATAAGGAAAGACTTGACCTGTAAAAGCCAGGTCAGGCTGTCTTCAAATATGCTGCAGTTTATCTGCCCATGAGCAGTTATAAATTGGAGGGGATATGGCAGGTTCTGTCATGTTGACCCGTTGGACAAGAAGTGAGGGACTAGTTTCACATATACCAGTTGTATGTAACTGAAATTCTCTACCCAAGCTCACTAACATAGATTAACATGACTGTATGCAGCTATATGGTCGGAAAATCTATCATGTTCTTTATATCACCGGGTGGAGTGAGCAAAATGATTTCGCGCCGAAAGAAGCCAGATTAAGCGACCCCGGGAATGATACACTTTCCAACAACAGCGGGTGAGCCATGAATATGGAAAGTTTGTTATGAGTGAGGAGTACTTTCACATGTTCGACATGCTGACATCACTCTTTCTAAGTAACATGGGGGTGTTCATTGTTCGTCTCTCGGTGCAGTTGTTCTATGAAAGCATCAAAGCTCATCATAACTGATAATTGGGAATTTTAAAATACATCGTGAGGAAGAATGTCTTCAGCAGCAACAAACACACAACAACAATCCACCCCGTTCCCCTCCGCAACATCAGAAACAACATCAGATCGCTCCGCTTCAAACACACAGCATGATCCCCCACTCTTCCAACCGCATTATTTCTTCTTCTATGGCAGCCTCAGTGACCCTTCTTTCCTAGCAAAGGTGCTCAACCGTCAGGATAAACCGGCAGTTCGTCCAGCGATGATAACGGAACACGGGATGAGAATGTGGGGTGAATTTCCGGCGCTGTTGGACGGATGTCCCGAAAAGCCGATTTACGGGGTCGGGTATAAGGTGCGTTCGCAGGTGGAGGAGGATAGCTTGGCAGAGTATGAGACGGATATGTATCGGAAGAAGGGGTGCGTTATTGAGTTTAGGGATGGGTCGAAGGTCCCTGGGGTGACGTTCGTGTGGAATGCAGATCCAGGGTTGTTGAAAGAGGAGGGCTTTGATATGAAGGACTGGTTGTTGGAGCAGAAGGATAGTCGTGGGGAGGGTGAGGTGGGAATATAAAGGATGTGGATGTGGGTGTTCCTCTGTGATATCTCGTCAAATGATGATCAAGCTTCTTTTAGCATCCTGTACTAATGCTGTCTCAGATCGGTTTCTGACGAAATGGAAGATCGAAGCTCTTTTTTGTATGGGTATCATTTCCTCCACACGTAGCCTGCTCGGCTGCATCATTTGCTTCCTTTTTGTTGATGGTACTCTCGCCGCGCTGATGGCTCTCCTCTCCCTCATGCCTCTGGTGTAGCTTGTGCTTCGCACCGTCCACCTTCTCTTGCAATGCGCGCACCTTTCGCTTCGCTCGGGTATAGCCTTCTATGCCTGCCAAGACAGCATATGACTTGCTGATTGAGACTTGTGACATGTCGACACCTTGATCTTGTAGCGAGTGGATGAAGGCGCGGAAGTTGGCGGCAGGGGGACGATAATGGCCACTGTTGATGTCAGCTGAGGCACTAGAACGTAACGAGGGTACATACCTCAAGGGTGCTAGACTACGTAGCTGTCCATTTCTTATCCTGATCAAACCAGCAGCTGCAATGCGAGCACCTCGCAGGAATGAGGAGTGCTGAAAGGCCCCGGACTCTTTGATGCCCACAAACAGCCGGAAGGTAGTATCAGCAACCTGCCTTGTTAGCTACTACATCGCAGACGCTAAGGGGAAGGAAGGATAAAGCAACAGCGACAAACTTACAAAGATCCACATATCCTCCTTCTTCGACGACTTCCCCTTCAAGGTCTTGAGGATCGTTCCCGGACTGACATGTGCCAACTTCTGTCCCACCTTTGTCGCCTGATAGTCATCCTTCTCCTGCTTCCCCAAAGCATCCTCATGTTCACTAAGCGAGCTATATCCTGACGATGACTCCAACGAATCACTCATCTCCGACAAAACCGGACTTCCATCATCCGTATTGCCCCTAAACCTCGGCGCATCCTCCTCAACAGGCACGACGCCCCTCAAACTATCCTTGAACCGGGCATTATCCGTCCAAATAAGCTCCCCATTCTTCGCCCACCGAAACTTCCCCGCCTCATCCACTTCAACCAGATAATTCATCCGCTCCTCTCGCGACAAATACCTCACCTGCTGTCGCTCCAATTTCTCTCTCGGACACTGAGGCAAATCCAACCCACTCCCCTCCCCATAGTCCAACCAGTAAAAGAAATTCTGATTCGTAGGCGAGTTCTTCCAATAGATATGATAAACCCGCAAATTACTCCCATGTCGGTGTTTCAAGTCCACCATTTCCAGAAAATATTGCAAATCCATCATCTTGGCCGTAGTGCCAGCCGGGAGATCATGATGGAGAATACTGGGAGAGGAGCCCTCCGTCCCTGAGCCATTATCGCCCATAGTATGACTACTCGTCCTAGCTGTCTTCGACTCGAGATCCTCATTGTCATCCCCCCCAGCGCGCTTCGCAACACTCACAGCGCGGAGCCAATTCCGACGTGCGTTCGCGGCGCTATCCACATCTTCAGCTGGCGCAGATGGGCGGTGTAGTTGTCGCCATTCTGCTTCTTTCACGGCCTATTCCAGCGACAAAGACAACAACATTTAGCATGGTTCATAGAAACCGCAGGGGTCCGGAAAAAGCCCACATCTTTCCATCGCGACGTCGACGCAGAGAGATCTAGTCCGTGCAGTTCCCGGCGCGTGCGATAGCCACGATATGTCCTCTATAATTAAAAAATCCATTGTTAAAGGTCTGGCAGGATGTAGCGAGAGTAGAGGCCGACCTGGATGGTTTGCGCCGCCCTCGCTCGCTTTTCGGTGACGTCATGGTCAGGGACATGGCGGGCAGCTGCGGTCGCGGGGTCCACAGACCCGCTGTTGCTGCTGGGTTCCACGGCAGATGCCATGGATTGGATATGGAAGTAGATGGACTTTATTTAGGGGAAATGCCCTGGAGCTTGTGGTAGGTGAAGGGTGAGGAGATGATCATGAGCAGAAAGAACAGCTTGAGGACGGGAAAGAAAAGATTGATTGTCGCTGGCGCCGAGCCAAGCCTGGGCGTTGGCGGGGCTGTGTAGATCCTGCCAAATGCCAATTCATTGTACAACTTTGTATGTAGCCGTCAACCAAAATATACTCTGGACTATTCACATATACTAGACCCACTAATTAGCCACTCCGGCTAAGTATATTTTAGACAGTCACTCTCTTCGCTCGAAGATACTCATAATCCGGCATCGCATCACTGACCGCCTTCTCGAGCAACTGCGCCATGTCCTCTCCAAACTCCAATTGCCACTTCTTGACCTCAGTGGGAATATCCACCACGGCCGGCTCTTTGCTCTTCATAACACCCGACGATTCATTCAATGTCGACAACATAACCGACTTTCCTGTATCCCAGTCAAATACACCCTGGGAGGCCCCATTCGGTCGTGCGACGCTATCCGCATGCACCCCCCTCTCCCATTGGAATTGAAGCTTGCTCGGGTCGAGTCCTGCCAATCGACAGAACTTGGTGACAGCATCCGGGTTATGGACCACATCGTAGGCGTCCAGAAGAAGTGGAGTTGAGCCGGTTTGCTCGAGGGACCAGTCGAAGAGTGACCGGGTCCAGTGGAGGGTCATGTTGGTGAGTAGAGTTCCGGGTAGTATCTTGGTGTCCATGACACCCATATCGGAGATCTTATTCATGGCACGACAGAAAGAGGGAAATACTATGGCTGGATGGCGGATGATGAATGCCATTGTCCATGTGCGGAGGTACTCGTCCGGAAGGACGGTTTTGTTGTTGGTGGAAAACGTCCTCGTCGTGCCATACGTGCTAGGGACGTTGACGTGGAAGGTGGAAAAGTCATAAGGGCCCTTCTCGGGTCCGTGTATAGCTTGCATGAAGGCCATGGGGTTGGAGAGCCAGAAGGAGTGCTCCTTGGCGAACATGGTCTTGTTCTCCCGCTCAGCCAGAGCGCAGGTCTCCTCGAGATGGTCGAAGCATTCTTGGAAGGTTGACTGGACCTCGTGTTTCGCTTCATCGGTCCATTCAGAGGGGGCCTGTGTGAGGCGACCGTCTTTAGCAACGGCGTGAAAGGCGTTGTAGAAGAAATAGCCGCCCCGATCGGCTGCGAAGGCGTTGGGTTGGCCGGGGATGTTGAGGATCTTCAGAAGCAGATTGGACGCAGTGCGGGGAACGCTGACCAAGAGAAGACGGCGGGGTGAGTTATGGCTTTCCATGATTGTCGAATCGATTGATTGATAAGTTCAATTTAGGTTATACTAGGGCCGTTCCTTATTCTCTTGTGTCTAGATTGGCTGCGGACAGAGCAACTGGAAGCTTAGAATATTGGCTCATCTTGGAGCTATATGGCGTGATCAGGTACGTACTATATATATGTTAGCTTGAATAGCTGCCAGGAAATCTACCCTGAACCGTTGCAACAACCTGCAGCGGAGCTTCGCGCCTTTCGAAGCTCCGAGAAGTGGAGGCCCCAAGACAGCGTCGCATTGGACTAGCCCTGAGAGGTAAAGCCGGGGATGCAGACATGGGGAGAGTACGGATTTCGGCTTTAGGAACGTCCGAAAACCTGCTGTCAGAGAAAATGGGGTATAGTAGAGTATGCTATGTGGATAGAATCCCCAGCCGATAATAATGGACAAACCCCGGTCCGGGACGATTGTAGTATGACAAGCCGCAGATCACCGTTGGAGTGGAGACGGCAGGGGCCGATTAAGGCAAAAGGGATTTGCTGCCGATTTGTTCCAGGTCTCGCCATATGTGGTGGTGTCTTCTGACTCCGTTCAGCTGGAAGTTGATCGTTAGCAGTTGAAACTCCGGACATAAGAAATCCGAGCTTGACGGTTGGGTGCTGAAAGCTGGCTAAGCACTTACTCGAAAGAGTCGGTCCAAACAACTCCGAGGATGTCAATCAACTGCCTAGTATCTGGCTGCTAGAAGATATGCGTCATGCAATGATCAATATATATTACCTTAGATGAAGCCTTGCATGCAAGTATAGTAAAGGCTTGCCGTATGGAATTCTTTCAGGCATTCTGGAGTCTGATAACTGCCAGGGCAAACTGATCGCAACGGCTGGTCCAATTGCTGGAAGATCTATGAAATATCAAATGAGAGGCACAAGTAGTAGAGACGCATTACTTGACAAATAACTAACTATAGGAATAAGTACTCGTGTAAGGTGTAATGACAATGTACGGAGGAATGATGTTTCAGTCATATAGTATTTCCTATTAATGCGGTGGAATTGCCGAGTATAGCTTAGATGTAAATTCAAATTTCGCCTAGCATCTGTATCTTTATAAAGTTCATGAAGAGGCTCTAAGATAGTCGGCATGAGATGCGTTCAATCTCCGTGATTGGAATATAAATTCGGGATGGCCTCGGCATGGTCGAAGCCAGGTCTTCCTGTTGGTCCTGGATCCCAAGACCGTGGATTACAATCGGGATAAGACCCTCATGGGTGTGCACCATATAAGTATACTACTTAGTCGTGACCTCGTGTGCCAAGTCGTGAACCTCCGAGTATTTGACGAGGATGTAAGGCATATTACTCGGCCAGTCAAAACTCAGATGGCGGCAGCATGTCAATGCAAGACAAGCTCTTGGTTCCCAAGTGCAGGGAAAGGAGTGGAGGATTGATTGATCTCCATAGACCCTTATTCTTATACAGTTCCACATCACGCTGTCGTTTCAGACACTGGCTCCGTCCGTGCTTTCGGCATCTGGTCCGGCACATCAGCTTTAGTGCCTTGGGCTTTCTCCTTGGCAGCGAGCTTTGGCTGTCTATGAAGAGCACGCGGAGCCATGCTGCCTGTTTTAGCAATGGCCAAATTCCGCTTGCGCCGGCTGTGCCAGGGTCCATCATCCGATTGTCGGATATAGTACCCCAGATCAGCAGTGGGATCCCACTCTGTCTGGGAAACGCCAATGCCCAACCATGAGAAACGATTTCCGTTGTACTTAATATCCCAGTCATCAGCACGTGGCTCTCTCATCGCCTCAAGATAGTGTAGAGTGCTTCCAGGCCAAGTCGTGGGAACGCGACCGCCGATGGTATGGTTGTTGTGGGAGTTGCGGCAATTATCCGTCCAAACGGCTTTTTGCATGAAGGAGCCGACATGCTCCTTGAACTCAGCGCAGACATCCCGCTTAAGAGCCATGCTATGGATGGGTTCTGTTTGGTAACGGTCGATAAAGGAACAGATATAGTCTGCTTGAGCTTCAATCGCGACCATGGTCGGACCATTGGAAACAGGCGTGTAGGGGCCAAGCATGGTAAAGGTGTTGGGGAACTCGGAAATACCTATTCCCATGTAGCCCATGATCGATTCGGCCCATTCTGTCTGCAGGTTGCGACCATTGGGTCCAATAACAGGGTAGCGCGGTATGTAGGAAGTGTCAAACCCGGTGGCACAGATGATGATGTCGCCTTGATGCTCCTTCCCGTCTTCGCTGACGCACCCAGATGGTGTTACGGATGTCACACCACCGTAGACCACGTCGACGTTCTCTTTTTTGAGAGTCTAACACAGGTGTTAGTATCACCTAGAATAACCAGGGGTGTAGAGCCCTCACATTTAGATACCTGAAGCCCGATGGTACCACACGCTTGCAACCAACAGAGAAGTTCGGTATCAGACGGTCTTCCATTTCTTGATTTTGAAAGGCGTTCTTCATCACCGATGTCAGGAGACCTTTGGCCTGCTCCTGAAGGACAGTATCCTTGAGGTACATGGCTGTTCATAGTAGTCAGCAATAGTCACTGTCGATACGGGTACTTTCAACGTACTGAAGATACTGTTCATAGTCCGTTCATTATCCCTGCGTAGCTCTGTCACGCTCTTTGGATTGTTCACAAAGTGCTCAATCTGCTCCTCGGGGAACTTGCCCGCCTCGGTGCTAATATCCGGCAACAGCCACGTCGGCGAACGGATAAAGATTTTCACATTGTTAACAATAGGTTGAATGGCAGGGAGAATCTGAACAGCTGATGAACCCGCCCCGATCAGCAGAACGTTCTTCCCTTCGAGCGATACGCTCTCATCGTACATCGCACTGTGTAGCTTGATGCCCTTGAAATCGCCCAATCCCGGAATCTCGGGCCAAGCAGGCTTATTGAGATAGCCCGTCGCATGAATCAGAATGTGACACCAGTCATGTACTGTGCGGCCCGTTTTCAAGTCGGTCGCCGTCACCTGCCACTGGCCCGACTCCTCGGCCCAGGTGGTTTCGGTGACGATGTGCGAAGTGTGGATGTATTTGCGTAAGCCATACTTGTTCGCGAAATCGTTAAAGTACCCTCTGATCTCGCTGGAGCCCGCGTATACAGATGACCAGTCTGCTTTAGGTTCAAACGAGTAGACGTAGTTGTGGGAGGGAACATCACAAGCGCAGCCTGGGTAGCGATTTTCGTACCAGGTGCCCGAAACCTCAGGGTTCTTCTCGTAGATCTGCATTCGAGGTTAGAAGAGTAGGTATAGAGAAGAGGGAATAATACTATAGATAACGCACAGTAAGATCGTAATTCTGAAAAGACCTCTGCAGCTTGTATGCCAGACACAACCCAGAGGCACCTGCACCCACGCAGATCACCTTGACATGTCTCTCGTTGTGAATAGCTTCCGCTCGAATAGGATCCATTGTGAGTAGGCTTTCTTTCTTTCTTGTCAGTGTCAGAGAACACAAACACAAGAGGAAGAGTTTAACAGTCAGGAGAACAGTGAAACAAAAGCTGCAGATGACGACCGTTTAGCCGAGGGGCAAGGCGAGATCATTGCGACAACCAAGACCGTCAAATTAGTATGATGTCGACAAGCTCATTGGGTGGGGGCAAGTCGACCATGCCGTCACGGTCTTCAGAGTTCAGACATATGAAGCGAAGACTTCCACCTCCACATGCATATGACGCTAGTTGCTAAATCCCGATCTGGCCACACGGGAGCGAGCTGGGCATGCCACAAACAAAGCATAGAGTAGGAGACTAGGAGGTATCTACTATCTCCGTTTCCAGCCGTTGATGCTGACCGGTACTCACGGATACTCCAACCACCACAATCACCCTGGTTTTGGTGGGGCGCGCTAAAGCCAACGAGGCAGTGTTAGCGTGGCCCCGGTGGTGTTACATCTTGAAACGAGCTAGATACAATGGGTATGTTCACCGCTCGAGAAAATTACCAAAGTGGACAGACAGGATTGCATTTACGCTGTAATTTTCGATAGATTTACACATCAACTCTCCAAAAAAGAAAAATAAGAAAGTCTACCAGGTGAGGTCAGGCTGTGGCAATGATTCAGATAGGAATTGAGTTTCCACATAAGAAATTTATTCAGTATAGAACAGGTTTCTTCCACAGTGGCGCTGTGCCCCTTTTTTCTCTCGAATGGAACGGGAATAAACGGATATCGGAGAACCCGGACCTCTTCCGAACGTTACACAAGGCCTGAGGCAGAGAGGCCTGCGATTGCGTATGTTTTATGCACCGCGCATAATTGGTCCTTATGCGCAATGCGCAAGATAGTGGTCCATTGAAACATTGGAAACATCCATATCCCTTGGAATTACAGTGTGGGATAAATCACATATTGAGTTAATTCCACAATCTCCACTCCACTGAAGGACAAGGCCAAGAATATATTCATATTATGATTGGATAGCTTGTCAGTCAGGATTGCCAGTGCATCCGTCAGTAGACTAGTACTTACTACTACTTACCACTGAACTAATTTCTCACCCCGGTAGCCTATCAACAACAGTCGTCGAGAGTAGCACGTCTAGCAGGGATTACTCACTAGTAAATTAGGTAGCATATAATGCCTATCCTTAGTATAATTAAGTTTGTAGTAATCCTACATAATCTCTCATGACCCGTAAGATCGCCCATTTGTGTACCAGGTTAACACTAAAAATCAGCTCGTATACCTCAGGGTCTACCCCATCTCAGCCACCACTGACCAACACGCCCAATCCCGACAGCTAAACCCACAATTAGACAAAGATCCCGATCCGGACCTTTCCCTCCAAGCCCATCCATGGTCCTAATCGGCTTCCAACCCCGACACAATGCCTCCAAGACGTGCCACATCGTGACCCAGTCCGAAAGAAAAGGCGAACTCCGTGTTCTCCAACTCCCCGCCTTTCTCTCTTTCCGGGGAATCGCCTCCCCAGAATCGTCATTCCCGGAAACGGCATCTCCAAGCATCATTCAGATCCAGCGTTCCTCCAATGGAGACGTAGGGATACGTGATTGACATCGGCCTCCCCGACCCTGATTTCATGATCTTCGGCTCCATGGCGAAAGACCGAAGTCTGGACTCTCTATCTATCCATTGATGAACAGGAAAGGGTCTACCGCAGGTCTCGTTTGCCAACAACCACGCCTCAAACGCCAGGAGGGTAGTGTACGCCATCACTCCAATGTTCATACCAAGGTACTTGCGTCCCCGGCGCCATTGCACATAGTCCATGATGCAAACCAAGGTTCAAAGCACAAAGGAGTCCTTGGATAATGAACTCCTCATGAAGACAATCGGTCAAACCATTGTCTTTCCATATTGAGGGTTCTAGAGCAGAAATGGAACTCGGAGACACCGATAGCCTTTGTCTGTGGCGCGACCAAGATCATCGATTACGAGGCCTTCGTGTCTTTGGGACGTTGTGGAGGCGGGGGTCTGAAGATGTGGAGGTGCGGTTAGTGGAATCTAGGCCCGTTTGGTGGGCTCTTGATCATGTCACGATGTGGCAGTAGGAGTAGCTGTTGACTATCGTAAGTAGATGGTTGACGCAATGGGGCTAGATCGACTTTCTTGTTAAGACGCGACTAATAATAGCACAATGGTAATTATTCAATACCAGTGTGCATAAACTCGCTACGAATTGTTAAACACCCCGTAGGGTCAGTGACTGGTCCAGGCTGAGTACTGCAGAATAGCGGGCCCGGGCCTCGACGCACATACTTCCTAAAGAAGTATAGTGGTAATTATAAGGTCTTGCACCTGGAGGCGATAGGATCGACAGGCATGCATAACCGGCAATGAGGTCTTAGAGTAGCCCCGTGGTTGATTACGACTCCAGCCACAATATACCATATTTCCCTCTTTACGAGGATGGCTTCTCCAAAAAGAAAACACGTCATACGCGATATCGGCACGAAGCGAAATAGGGTTTGCTGCGATCGAAGCGGACTGGGTCCGAGGACCTGGGACGGATCGTACCAAGGTTGGTTTGATTGTTGGGTAGAGATCTGCCTGATAACGTGGGTTGAGAGTTGGCTGTAAACCAGGGACTTTTTCCGTTGCCGCGTCCTTTTTCCGATATCTTCCGGCTTTGGTAGTGGTGGTGTCGATCGCGGTTCCTGTATTGCTAATGGTATGATGGTCGCGAAGGAAGAGGGAAAAAAAGTCTAAAATTCTCCGATGTCTAGCGACGCTCGGGGATCGGCGGTGTCGTGGATTCAGTAAACCCTTTGCCCGCTCGATGATCTATAGGCCATTGCATAACCCCACTATACAGGCAACCTTGGCTCATGAGTGTCAAGGAATTGGAAGGGTGGTAACCATGTTCTTGTGGCTGCGGTGAGTTGGCGGAGATGAAGTGACAGCATGTGAACCTTATGTTGCATAATTAGGGTGGACAGCAGCTTTCAGGGAAGGAGTTGTCATTGACAAAACATAGAATCAATTTCAGTGCGGGGAACCGAGGTAATTGATACTGTGTAGTTGCTAGTCGCCAGACACCGTGTTGCTGTAGACTTGTAACAGTTTGACCCACACTGATTGCGAGTACAGACTCCGCGTGATCAAAGGAGGGGCCCAGACTGCGTGTCGGGTTGGCGCAAATTGCATTAATTGTTAGATTCCGTGGTAGGGTATCATGGCCCCTTCGATTAGGAAGAGTACTACTGGGCTCCGCGAATGTCAGGATCCAGCTACTCAATGGTGAAAAGTGGAGGACGGCCTTCTCCGGCTGGAACGGCTCTGTCACCGAGTTCCCTGAACCATAGCCCCATCATTCCCGGCATTTGCACCCTCAATATGGTGGTTGACATAGTTGACGCTAGATACGACTCCAAAAGGATGATTAAGGTTGCCTAAATGAGGCCATGTGGTTCACGTTGCAGCGCCACGGGCTAGGATCGTGCAGCAGACCACGTTGACTGGCGTCCAGAAGGCGAGTCCCAGCGTGGTTGCTCCACGATCCAGGTAGTCTGAACAAGGGTCACTACATAGTGTAGCGCCAAGGTGGGCATTTCGGCCGCCCGGCGGTGATGCTGCAGGGGTCATCCATCGCTGATTGGAACCCAAACTATGATCGCGGGCTGGTCTCGCCACTCGGGCTCAAGTGGATAATGGGCATATTGCTTTGGAGTGTTTTAAATCAATATGGAGCAGAGTTGCGGTGCACCAACGGTCCAGCTAGCACTCGAATAATCATAGCTAGGTCATAGGATGGTATAGCCGGGGCTGATAGGGTATTTTGGGAAATGAAGTATGCATACAACCAAACCCCGACCTGAAGCGTCATCCCCGATGTGGCGGTGTAACGAGAGTGGCGTAGCCAGGCGAATAAACAGGAGGAAAAGAGTTCCCCAACCGAAAATAGTAGTTGTTGGTGTCTTACAGTCGGTTGCGAGATGATTCTAAAAGGTCGGACGCAACTGTAACACCATTGAAAGCGAGAAGGTATTCTTACGAAAGATTCTGGCTGTTTCCTTGACTAGAAATGAGACTAGAGACGAGGAAGAAGGCACTGATAACAGCATGTAATTCAATACCATCTGGTAAGTAAAGTATCTCCTCGGCACACAAGAAAAGGGGGAGCAACAAAGAACAAAAGAATAGTAACAAAACCAGTGGAAAACATCCCATGGTTTCCCAGGGCCACTTTTACCATTACAATACCGGTACATACTCCATCAAGCCACCGACTTCAGTCCCAAGGCAGGTAAGTTCCCGGCACGGCGCGGCGGAGGGCAACCACCAAACAATCTCCACCTTCTCTCTAGTCTACTACTTTTATCCAACCCAACCATGGATGTCTTCCCACGCACGTCCCCACTTCTTCCCCCCGTTGCCATAATGCGAGAAATGGTCCACGGTACGCCTTTCCAAGTATGGATATCCTACTACCTCCGTACAGAGCTCCATACTCAGCTCTTGGCTTCTGCAGATTTGGACTCATTCCACAGAATAATCACTCGCTTGCGCTTCGATGATGACAACAGTGCGCCCTTGGAGACCACCGGTGCGCCGTGCCCGGCTACTCCCTGTCTAGCTCAGCCGGAACCGCACGGCCCATGTCATTCATGGTTAGTAGGAGTGAAGGAGATTTGGTTCATCCACTGGACGGAGACATTTCGAGGATTGGTCATTCGACCGAACGTCTGTGAATTTCCGCTGATTGCTTATAAAGGAGCCATGCACGTCCCGGGGTCTCCTCCTGTCGGGAGAAGGTATAAGGTTGTCGACGTGCATTGCGGCGGTACAATCAAACCATCCCTTGCTCAACTCAGAATCACCACCACGCGTGACTAGTACACTACATACATCTTGAACTTTTCCCGACTTGACTTGCCAAGATGGGCAGTCTTTCTCCTTTGCTTCCAGCATCGCCGCGCATGCTACCACATTTCTTTATCTCAGTCCTCTATGCCCTGTTCTCCTCCCTCTTCAACCTAATCCCCGAGCATGCAAAAGCTCATCTCATCAAGTCTGGCAGAGCACAGGACTTCCAGTCATCAAGCTGGGAGGAGGTCGACTATGAGATCCGTAACGTCCTCAACCACCACGGCCGGTATTGGTGGCACACTACGGGGTACGTGTTAAATCTGCTCCTGCAGGAGGCTGGCTACACAGAGCATGCGCAACGACGCATCCTAAACTTCTTCGGCCGCTCGATTGCTCCGCACCTTGGGGTCGCAAATGTGCCTGGCGAGAAGAGATGGCCAAGTTTCATGACGGACAACCATAACCCGATCGAGTTGAGCTGGGACTGGCATACTGGCAAGAAGGCACCGTCGGTTCGCTTCTCAATTGAGCCCGTGGGCCCCAATGCCGGCACGCAAGTGGATCCCGACAATCAATCTGCAGACGCGCTCTTCAGGAAGGTCTTGATGAGAGCATTGCCCAACACCAACAGGGAATGGTTTGACCATTTTGATCAAGCATTGGCCCCGGACCTACCCCCCAAGGGCTGCATGGAGGGCCATCCGTCGAAGATCTTCTACGCCTTTGACTTGAGCGAGGAAGACATCACCGGAAAGGCCTACTTCTTCCCCGGGTTCAAGGCTAGGTCCACGAAGCAGACCAATTTACAAGTCCTCGCACAAGCGATCCGCACGGCTCCTCACTGCACCGACAATGAGAAGCTTGGCGCATTTCGGATGTTTGAGGATTTTGCCCAGGATCCCTCGACGCCGCCGCTAGAGATGGACATGCTAGCCATCGACTTGGTCCGACCGGCTGATTCGCGTCTCAAGATATACTTTCGAACGCGCGAAACCAGCTTTGCCTCCGTGCGTCAGATGATGACGATGGGTAACCGAATTACCACCCCGTCGCTAGAAGCTGGGCTGCGGAATCTGAGGCAGTTGTGGGACGGGGTTCTGGCGCAGACTGGCGTGCCTGATGATACACCACTGCCAGCTGCCAACCATCGCACAGGGGGCATCCTGTATAACATGGAATTCCGCCCAGGAAGCACGGCCCCCAACGTCAAGGTGTATATTCCCGCCCGCCATTATGCGCCAAGCGACTGGCATGTGGTAACGGCGTTGAACGAATACATGTATGGAATTAACGGAAAGTCGGAACTGCCCATGCGTACCTATACTGAAACCCTGCGCAAAGTATTGTGAGTACCTGCGTCCGCATAGCCAAGTGCATGTTGCTAACAATCAGCGCAGTACGCCCGATGCCCTCCAGCAACGTGGTCTACACACCTACATCGCCTGCTCAGTTCAGTCGGGTGGTGAGCTCCGGGTTGTGTCGTACATGAATGTGCAGAGTGAGAACTTTGCCACGGCATGAGCATGTGGCCATGACATGATGAATCATGAGAGACGTTTAGTGTATGTAACATATCTTTTCCTAAAACCAGCCGACAATATTCCTACTTCGTATTGTAACTAAATACCTGACATAATTTATTTTATCGCTCTACTGGTTTGAACAAGATGGCAGAGGAAACGCTTACCTTGAGACACACCGCACAGCCTGTAAAGATGAAACCGTAGGATGACGCCTTCTGGTACGCTGGGTAAAGATACCGCGAAACGTCGAGGTCCAAGCAGCACGATGCAGCGAGTAGCGAACAAGCGAGAAGTTAAGCGTGGGCTCCACTCGAACGGGCCACACCCGAGCTCGTGTCATTTACTGATAACCTCGGATCACGTTGGCCCACGCATACCCGAGTCGGCTCGAGAGCGGGGTCTTCCGAAATTTTACATCTCCCATCGATGGATGGATGGTCCTGATGGAGGAGCAGGCCTCTGGCATGCA